GACTACTGACCATCCATGGGGCTACCAACATCAGCCTTGGGGCTACTGACCATCCATGGGGCTACCAACATGGGCCTTGGGGCTACTGACATGAACATTGGGGCTACTGACCATCCATGGCATTGCTGCTCACCAGTGGGGCTACCGACATCAGTCTGGGGCTACCAACATCGCCCATGGGCTACTGACATCAACCCTGGGCTACTGACATGGGCACTGGGGCTACCAGCATCACCCACGGGGCTACTGACCACCCATAGCACTGCTGGTCACCACTGGGGCTACTGACATCACCCCTGGGCCAGTAACATCAGCACTGGGGCTACCAACATCATCCCTGGGCTACCAACATCACCCCCGGGCTACTGACACCGGCCTTGGGGCTACCAACATCAGCCCTGGGGCTACCAACATCATCCCTGGGCTACTGACACCGGCCTTGGGGCTACCAACACCAGCCCTGGGGCTACCGACCACCCCCGGCACTGCTGCTCACCGCTGGGGCTACTGACATTGGCCTTGGGGCCACCAATGTGTGTCCTGGGGCTACTGACCACTGCTGGGGCTGCTGACCACGCGTGGGACCACCGGCATCAGCCCCGGGACCACCGACATCAACCCCGGGGCACCGACATCACCCCCGGGACCACCGACATCACCCCCGGGGCACCGACATCATCCCGGGGCCACCGACATCACCCCCGGGGCCACTGAACATCCCTGGGACCACCGAGCAGCCCCGGGACCACCGACCCCGACCCCAGCAGGACCCGCGCGCACGAGGGGACCCCAGGACCCCCAACCCTCCCGGAGAGCGGGGCCGGGGCCAGCCCCGAGCGGCCACCGGCGGCCCGGGACCCTCAGATCCCCCCCGAAAAAGGGTCCGGGGCGGTTCAGCACCGAGCGATCCCCGGAGCACCGGGACCACCGAGGGAATCAGCGGAGCCCCGCCGAGCCCCGCGCCCCGTTCCCCGTGAGGGTCGCCCGAGGTTCCCCCGCCGCCATTCCCGCCGCTTTCCCCCCGGCCGCCCCCCGGCGCCGCCATCTTGGAGCGCACAACGGCGGCGGCCCCGGCGCGGCCCCTGAGGGGCGGCGGCGGCCCCGGGGCGCTGAGGGGAGCGCGGGGGGCTCGGGGCGGGCGGGAGGGCGCGGGGGCAGCGGGCGATGGGCGGCGGGGGCGGCGATGGCGGCGGATGCGGCTCCGGCCGGGCCCGACTCACCCCGAACGCTGCGACCGCCGCGACCGAGAGGGCGGGGCTGAGCGTCACTTCCGGTCCGGCCCCGCGCGCGCTCAGGGGGCCTCGCCCCTCGCCGGGAGCGGGGCTGCCCGCGGCGATCGCCTGAGCGCCCGGTTCGACCCTGCCGCCGCTCCCGCCGCCGCTCCCGCGGCTCCCGGGGCTCTCGAAGCCTCCCGCGCCGCTCTCGCCGCCTCTCGCACCGCCCGCCTTGCCCCGCACCGGCCCCGCCGGCCGCGCGCCTCCGCTCAGGCACCGCTGTGGACAGCCCCGCTGCAGGGTCCTCAGGGAGGCCGCGCGCCGAGCGAAAGCCCCTGTGGAAGCCCCGCCCCCCGCGTCGCTATGGCGACGGTTCCCGCCATCGCCCGGCCACGCCCTCCACAGATGACGCAGCGCGGCTCTGAACCAATCCCTTTATTGCGCGCGCGAGGGGCGGGGTCAGAGGTCTCCCGACAGGCTGATGGTGGCCAATGAGACGGTCTCGGTGGAGAGGCTCCGCCCCTTCTCGTAGATGAGGTACACCAAGGGGGCGGGGCCTTCTTCTTCGGGGGGCGGGGCCGCCAGCGTCGAGTACCCGCTGGGCCCCTCCCACACGCGCAGGCCCTGCCCCCACCACGTGGTGCCGTTGTCGAAGCTCCAGCGCAGCGTCAGGTTCACGCCTGGGGGCGGGACCGGCCGGGGACACGCCCACACTCAGACCACGCCCCTCCACACACAAGCCGCGCCCCCTGCCGCTTCCTTCACCCCCCCAAAGCGGAACCTGGGGACCCTCCCAGAGCTGGGCCAGCCCCTGACCCCAAAGTCCCCCCAAATCTGACCCCGTGTCCCCCCCATGTGCCCCCCATGTGCCCCTCGGTGTCCCCTGCCTGGTGTCCCCAATGTCCCCAATCCCCCCAATGCCCTGAAATGTCCCCAAATGTCCCCAATGCCTCCAAGGTCCCCAATGTCCCCAATCCCCCCAAATGTCCCCAATCCCCCCAATGCCCTGAAATGTCCCCAAATGTCCCCAATCCCCCCAGATTCCCCAGTCCCTGCAATGTCCCCAGTGTCCCCCCAATATCCCGTGTCCCCAATCCCCCCAATGTCCTCGCAATGTCCCCAAATGTCCCCAATGCCTCCAAGGTCCCCAGTGTCCCCAGTCCCCGCAATGTCCTCAATGTCCCCAAATGTCCCCAATCCCCCCAAATGTCCCAAATGTCCCCCCAATATCCCCAGTGTCCCCCAATGTCCCCAAATGTCCCCGCAATGTCCCCACTGTCCCCGATATTGCCATTTCCCAATTGCCCCCAATGTCCCCCAGTGTCCCCCGGTGTCCCCATTTCCCCAATCCCCCCAATGTCCCCCAATCCCCCCAATGTCCCCAATCCCCCCAATGCCCCCCCAATGTCCCCCAATGTCCCCAATGTCCCCAATCCCCCTGCAATGTCCCCGCAATGTCCCGTGTCCCCGTGTCCCTGCTCACGCTCGGTCTCGTGGCGCGGGGTTGCTGAACAGCACCAGCCGGTGCTGGGGCAGCGCCAGGGCCCCGGCAGCCACGGCCGGGTCCGGCAGCTGCGGCTCCAGGGCGACGCTGGCGGGGGACAGGGACTCGCCCCCGTCCCAGCTGCGGGCCCGCATGCGGCACCGGCACCGGGTACCAGCCCTGGTTGCGGATGCTGACCGCGATGGAGCCGTCGGGCAGCTCGTAGGGCTGGGGGGGACATTGGGGGGTGCACGTGGGACCCCCACCCGTCCATGGCTGGGGGAGGAACGGGGAGGGGGCGGCACCGGGGAGATCCAAAATCTCCTGGTCCCAAAATCCCCCGGCCCCAAAATCCCCCAGGCCCAAAAATACCCCAGGGCAGGAATGAGGAGGGGGCAGCACCAGGGAGATCCAAAATTTCCTGGTCCGAAAATCCCCTGGCCCCAAAATCTCCCGGCCCCAAAATCCCCCAGGGCAGGAATGGGGAGGGGGCGGCACCAGGGAGATCCAAAATTTCCTGGTCCCAAAATCCCTGGCCCCAAAATCCCCCGGCCCCAAAATCCCCCGGCCCCAAAATCCCCCAGCCCCAAAATCCCCCAGGGCAGGAATGAGGAGGGGGCGGCACCAGGGAGATCCAAAATTTCCTGGTCCCAAAATCCCCTGGCCCCAAAATCTCCTGACCCCAAAATCCCCCGGCCCCAAAATCCCCCAGGGCAGGAACGAGGAGGGGGCGGCACCAGGGAGCCCCAAAATCCCCTGGCCCCAAAATCCCCCAGGCCCCAAAATCCCCAGACCTCAAACCCACCCAGGGCAGGAATGGGGAGGGGGCAGCACCAAGGAGCCCCAAAATCCCCCCAACCACGAACCCACCATCCCCAAAACCCCAAATCCCCCCAGCCCCAAATCCCCAACCCCAAAATCCCCAAACCCCCCAGCCCCAAACCCACCCTGGGGAGCCCCAAACGCCCCCAAGGAGCCCCAAACCCACCCTGGGGAGCCCCAAACCCACCCTGGGGAGCCCCCAAACGTCCCCAAGGAGCCCCAAACGCCCCCTGGGAGCCCCAAACGCCCCCTGGGAGCCCCAAACCCACCCTGGGGAGCCCCAAACGCCCCCAAGGAGCCCCAAACCCCCCCCCAAAGCGCCCCCAGCCCCACCTGGCACTCGTCGGGGGTGAAGTCGTGGGGGCGCCGGGGGGCCCCGAAGGGGATGGCGGGCAGGACCCCCCCCCCGGTGCCAGCTGCGCCCCCCATCGTCGCTGAGCAGCAGCGAGACCCCGTCCCGCTCCAGGGTGCCGTGCCCACAGAACACCAGGCGGCCTGGGAACGGAGCCAGCTGCTTCTGGGGGGGGGAAAATGGGGGTGAGAGACCCCCAAAAACACCCAGAGACCCCCCAAAAACACCCAGAGACCCCCAGGGCATCCCTGAGACCCCCAGAGCCCCCAGAGCCCCCCGTGCCCACAGAACACCAGGCGGCCTGGGAACGGAGCCAGCTGCTTCTGGGGGGGGAAATGGGGGTGAGAGACCCCCCAAAAACACCCAGAGACCCCCCAAAACACCCAGAGACCCCCCAGAAACACCCAGAGACCCCCCAAAAACACCCAGAGACCCCCCCGAAAACACCCAGAGACACCCAGGGCATCCCTGAGACCCCCAGAGCCCCCAGAGCCCCCGTGCCCACAGAACACCAGGCGGCCTGGGAACGGAGCCAGCTGCTTCTGGGGGGGGAAATGGGGGTGAGAGACCCCCCCAAAAACACCCAGAGACCCCCAAAAAACACCCAGAGACCCCCCAAAAACACCCAGAGATCCCCTAAAAACACCCAGAGACACCCCAGAAACACCCAGAGACCCCCAAAAAAACACCCAGAGACACCCCAGAAACACCCAGAGACCCCCAGGGCATCCCTGAGACCCCCAGACCCCCTCAAGACCCCCGAAATACCCCCCAGACCCCCTCTAGACTCCTCCAGACCCCCTCAACCCCTTCAGATTGCTTCAGCACCCCCGAAATAGCACCCAGACCCCCCAAATTCCCCTACAGATCCCCCCAAATTCCCCTCAGACGTCTCCAGATCCCTCCCAAAACTCCCAAATTCCCTTCCTGATCCTCCCAAATACCCCCCAGACCCCTTCAAGACCCCCCCAAATACCCCCCAGACCCCACAGATCCCCCCAGACCCCTTCAAGACGCCCCCCAAACACCCCTCAAATACCCCCCAAAGCCCCCCAGGACCACCCAGACCCCTTCAAGACCCCCCCAAATACCCACCAGAGCCCCAGGTCCACCCCAAGCACCCCCCAAACACCCCCCAAAGCCCCCCAGGACCCCCCCAGACCCCTTCAAGACCCCCCCAAATGCTCCCCAGACCCCTTCAAGACGCCCCCAAATACCCCCCAGACCCCCAGATCCCCCCTAAACACCCCCAAACGCCCCCCAGGACCACCCAGACCACTTCAAGACCCTCCCCAAATACCCCTCAGACCCCCCCAAACACCCCCAAACGCCCCCCAGGACCACCCAGACCCCTTCAAGACCCCCCCCCAATACCCACCAGACCCCCAGATCCCCCCCAAACACTCCCCAAACACCCCCCAAAGTCCCCCAGGACCCCCAAGACCCCCCAAATGCCCCCCAAACGCCCCCCAGGACCCCCCAAACTCCCCCAAACCCCTTCAAGACCGCCCCCAAATACTCCCCAGACCCCTTCAAGACCCCCCAAATCCCCCCAAACCTCCCCAAACCCCCCCCAGGCCCCCCCCCCCATCTCTCACCTGGATGCCCGAGCCGGGCCCGGGGGCGAACACCTCCCCCCCCACGACGTCCGAGAGGTTCTGGGGGGGTCCCCAGGAGCGCCCCCCGTCGGGGGGAGCGCAGCAGGAGCGTGCTGGGGGGGCCGCAGGCCTGGGGGGGGTGGGCGCAGCGGGCGAAGAGCAGCAGCACCTCCTGCCCCCCCCCGGGCGCCAGCAGCGCCCCCAGGCTCAGCCCGTCCCCCCCCCAGCCGTCATCGGCCACCACCTGCGTGGGACCCCCAGGTGGCACCTGCGGGGAGGGGGGGGGGACAGGTGTGAGACCCCCCAGGGACCCCCCAACCCCTCCCCATATCCCCCCATTGGCCACCACCTGCGTGGGACCCCAGGTAGCACCTGTGGGGAGGGGGGGGGGACAGGTGTGAGACCCCCCAGAGCAACCCAGGGACCCCCAGAGCAACCCAGGGACCCCCAAGCCCTCCCCATATCCCCCCATTGGCCACCACCTGCGTGGGACCCCAGGTGGCACCTGCGGGAGGGGGGGGGACAGGTGTGAGACCCCCCCAGGGACCCCCAAGGACCCCCAGAGCAACCCAGGGACCCCCTCAGGGACCCCCAAGAGCTCCCAGAGACCCCCGAGAGCTCCCCAGGGACCCTCTCAGGGACCCTTAGGACACCCAGGGGCCCCCCAGAGGACCTCAAGACCCCTGAGAGCTCCCCAGGGACTCCCAGAGACCCCCAAGAGCTCCCCAGGAACCCCCTCAGGGACCCCGAGAGCACCCCAGGGACCCTCAGGGACCCCTCCCGACCCCCCCATCCCCTCCCCAACCTCTCCTAGAACCCCCCATCCCTCCCAGCCCCTCTCCGACCCCTCCCAGGGCCCCCCAAGCCCTCCCAGCCCCTCGCCCCCCGGTTCCTCCCGCACCTCTGTCGGGGGAGCGGCGGCACGCGATGATTTTGGCCCCCACGTCGGCGGCCGAGCGCTTGCGGCCCTCGGCGCAGGCCAGCAGGGCCCCCCCGGCGGGCGCGGCCAGCAGCGGCACCCGGAACGTGTGGACCCCGCCCCGGAACGGCGGCGACAACGGCGGGGCCCCCCCGGGAAAAGGGGGGGACGGGACCCCCGGGGGCTGCGCCCCCCCGCTCACCCACAGCACCTGCTCCCGCACAACGCGGGGGCGCACCTGGAGAAACGGGGGGGAATGGGGGGAAATGGGGGTCACGGAGGGTGGGGAGGGGTCCTGGGGAGGATGGGGAGGGGTCCTGGGGGTCCTGAGGGGGACATTGGGGGGCACTGGTGGGGGATGGGGGGCTCCGGGGGATCCTTGGGGGGCTCAGGGGCGTCTCTGAGGGTCCCGGGGGTCTCTGAGGGGTCCTTGGAGGGGTCTCTGAGAGGTTTTTAGGGGTCCCCGGGGGTCTCTGAGGGTTCTTTAGGGGTCCTCGGGTGTCTCTGAGGGTCCCTGGGGGTCCCAGGGGTCTCTGAGGGGTCCTTGGAGGGGTCTCTGGGCGGGATCTCTGGGGGTCTCTGAGGGTTCTTTAGGGGTCTCGGGGGTCTCTGAGGGTCCTTGTGGGGTCTCTGAGGGGTTTTTGGGGGTCTCGGGGGTCTCTGAGGGTCCTTGTGGGGTCTCTGAGGGCCCCGGGGCTCTCAGGGTCTCCCCGGGGTTTCCCCGGTCCCGCCCCCATGCCGGGGCTGGGGGCGGGGCGCTCTAACGGAAGCCCCGCGCGGTTCCCGGGGGGTTTTAACCCGGGGGTAGGGGACGGGGGGGTCCCGGTACCGTCTCGGGGGTCGCCACCCATCGAGCGGCGGCGCCGGCGGCGAACAGGCCCAGGAGGAGGAGGAGGAGGAGGAGGAAGAGCGGCGGCGGCGGCGGCGGCGCCCGCCCCGCGCCCATCGCGGCCCCTTTAAGAGACACCGGAAGCGCCGCGCGCCGGGCGTGTGGGCGGTGCTTGCTCTTAAAGCGGCGACGGCGCGGAAAAAGGGGAGGCCTTAAAGGGGCAATGACAGCGCGGGGTGGGGCCCGCAGGTTGAAAAAAAAGTTTAATTTCTGGAAATTGAACGATTTTATTGATTTGGGATTGATTGATTCGGGTTTCATTGATTTCCGTCTTTATTAATTTGGGTTTATTGATTTGAGGTTTATTGATTTGTGTTTACTGATTGGGTTTTTATTAATTTTGGGTTTTATTGATTCTGGGATTTTATTGATTTGGGGTTTATTGATTCTGGGGTTTTATTGATTTTAATTTCATTGATACTGGGTTTTCTTGATTTTTATTTTATTCATTTTCATTTTATTGACTTGTCTTTTATTAACTTTATTTTTAATTGCACTTGGCTCCACCCCCCCCAGTGCCCCCGGCCCGCGGGGGGTGGGGCTGAACGCCGAGGGGGCGGGGCTAAAGCAGATAATTATTAATTATTAATTGCTCTGCATTAGTCCCGCATTAGTCCCGCCCCAAACGGGCGTGGTCAGACGTGGCCACACCCCAGTGCAAAAAGTTGGGAAGAAAAACTTGGGAAGAAAACTCCTCGGGAAGGTCCGGTCAGAGGTCAGAGGTCAAGGCTCAGCCAATCGCAGCAGGGGACCCGCGGCCGTGGGGACACTGCGGGGCCAGAGGGGTCAGAGGTCAGCCAGGGCTCAGTGGTCACCCAGTGGTCACCCATTGGTCACCCATTGGTCAGTGGTCACCCATTGGTCACCCATTGGTCACTCACCTCTGCAGCCGCCCCTCCCCCAGCAGGTCGTGCAGCAGGAACGGGACCCCCAGGGTGGCCCCAGGGGGGGCTCGGAGCCCCTCGAGCTCCCTGAGGGGAACCTGGCGGTGCCGGGAGCGTTTGATGAGAGCCAGGACGGCCCGGCGGCCTGAGGGGTCACACAGGGGTCAGTCAGGGGTCACACAGGGGTCACGCAGGGGTCATGGGGGGGTCACTCACCCCTCAGCAGCGCCCGCACGAAGCGCCCGGCCCCCGGCACCGCCAGCCACCAACTGCCGGCATCACGGACGGTGAGGAGCCCCGCGGCCACCAAGTGCCTGGGGAGGGGAAAATGGGGGGATCAGGGACCCCCAGGGACCCCCAGGGACACACCCAGGGACACACCCAGGGACCCCAAATTCACCAAGTGCCTGGGGAGGGGAAAATGGGGGGATCAGGGACCCCCCAGGGACCCCCAGGGACACACCCAGGACCCCAAATTCACCAAGTGCCTGGGGAGGGGAAAATGGGGGGATCAGGGACCCCCAGGGACCCCCTCAGGGACCCCAAATCCGCCTCAGGGAGGCCCCGTTCCCCCTCAGGGACACCCCCAACCCCATCCCCGTGTCCCCAGGGCCCCTCTGGGTGTCCCCAGGCTGTGCCCCTGTCCCTCCAGTGTCCGTCCGTCTGTCCGTACGTGATGTCCGTGTCCCCGAACCCCCTCTCTCCCATCCCCCTCCGCTCGTAGCCCAGCTCGGGGCTCGCGGCCACCGCGGCCTCCAGGAAACGCCGGACCAGGGGCTCCCGGGGGGACCCCGCCACCGCTGCCAGCACCTGCGGGGGGACAGACGGACACCGGGGTCACCCAGGGGTCACTGAGGGGTCACCGGGGGGGTCAGGGGTCACCAGAGGTACCACAGTGACCACCAAGGACACTGAGGGGGGGTCCCCATGTCCCCCTCCCCCCCCATGTTTCCGGTACCTTCTCCCGGTAGAGCTCCAGGCTCACGACCCCGAGCGTGTCCGGGCCCAGCCCCAGGTGCAGCAGCCGCACCCGGCCCTCGTCACGGAGCCGGTTCTGGGGGGCAACGGGGGGTTCGGTGTGGGTTTGGGGGGTCCCGGTGTGGGTTTGGGGGGTCCCGGTGAGGGTTTTGGGGTCCCGGTGTGGGTCTGGGGTCTCACCAGGTGCCGATCCACCGCTGTCCGGTCCCTGACCAGGCTGTAGAGCTGATGGCGCAGCACCAGCGGCGGCAGCGCGTCCCCGAACAGGCGGCGGGGAAAGAGCTCGGCCACGGCCCCGAGAGCGGCCTCGACCCCGGCGGGGCTGCCTGGGGGGAAGAAAACGGGGGGTGGGACCACCGGAAACCACACCGGGAACCCCAGAACCCACACCGGGACCCACAAATCAACACCGGGACCCCCAGATCCGCACCGGGACCCCCCAAATCCACACTGGGACTCCTCCCCCCCAAACTCCCCGTTCTGTCGGCCTAAACCCCCCCCCTCAGCGGCCCCCCCCGGTACCCCCGGTGCTCCCGGTACCGTCGGGGCGCGGGGGCTCCCCCGGCAGCTCCGGGCGGCGCCGCTTGGCCGCGAGGGCGCCCTCGGTGTCCCCGAAGCGGCGGCGGCGGCTCATGGGGGGCTCCGGGGCCCCGGAACGGCAGCGGCGGCGCCTGCGCGGGGTGATGGCGTCACTGCGGCGCGACTGCTGCGCGTTGAGATGACGTCAGAGGACGGCGCAGGGTGAATGATTCATGGGTGGAACCATTTGGAGGGGGAGGTGGAACCAACCATGGCGATGGGGGGAATCGGGTTAAACCAATCGGATGAATGGAAAAGAACCACGTGGGAAACGGAGGGGGGGACGACCGAGTTTAACCAATCGGATGAATGGACTGAACCACGGGGGTGGGAACCGGATTTAACCAATTGGGTGAATGGACTTCACCATGTGGAAAACGGAGGGGGGGAACCGGGGTTTAACCAATTGGATGAATGGACTGAACCACGGGAAAAACGGGGGGGTAAGGGCTGGAACGGTTGGGGAGGGAAGGGTTGAAGCGAAGCCTGCGCAGGTGAATGGACTGAACCACGAAAGATTAAGGGGGGGATCGGACAGAACCACAGGAATCGAGGGGGGGTTGGACTGAACCACATGATTCTGGAGGGGGGTTGCACAGAACCACACAATTCCAGGGCCAATTGGACAGAACCAATGGAGCGCAGGGGGGTCGGACCGAACCACACGAATCCGGGGGGGTGTTGGACAGAACCACACGAGTCTGGGGCTGCTTGGACCGAACCACAGGGGCGCGTGGGGGGGGTTGGATGGCAGCCAGCATGGCCGTTCCCTCCCCCGCGTGCGTCCCTTTGTGTCCCTTTATTGCGTGTAGAGGCTGGCGGCGAAGACGATGTCGCGCTTGATCATGGCGGCGGCCGCCTCCATCTTGGCGGCCATGGCAGGGTCGCCCACGGTGCGCGCGGCCTGGCGCAGCTCCCGCAGCAGCTCCTCGAGCCGCTGGATCGCCCGCACCACCGAGCCCTCCTGCACCGGCGCCAGGCGCGCGATCTCCGCAAAGGGCTGGAAACGGGAGAGGGGGGGACACTGAGGGGACTGGGGGGATTGGGGACACTGAGGGGATTGGGGACACTGAGGGGATTGGGGACACTGAGGGGATTGGGGGTGTTGGGGGTATTGGGGAGATTGGGGACACTGAGGGGATTGGGGGGATTGGGGGGGATTGGGGGTGTTGGGGGGTATTGGGGGGATTTGGGGACACTGAGGGGATTGGGGGGATCGGGGACATTGAGGGGATTGGGGACACTGAGGGGATTGGGGGTGTTGGGGGTATTGGGGGTGTTGGGGACACTGAGGGGATTGGGGACGTTGGGGGGATTGGGGACAATGGGGGCAATGGGGACATGGGGGTGTTGGGGATGCTGGGGACATGGAGGGGATTGGGGATGTTGGAGGGACTGGGGACACTGGGGACATGGAGGGAATTGGGGGGATTTGGGGGTTTTGGGGGGATTGGGGACAACGAGGACATTGGGGTGCTGGGGATGCTGGGGGCAATGGGGACATTGGGGGGGATTGGGGACATTGCGGGGACATTGGGGGAATTGGGGACATTGGGGACATTGAGGGGATTGGGGGGAACTGGGGACATTGGGGACATTGGGGACATTGGGGACATTGGGACTTTGGGGGGACAATGGGGACACAGGGCTTGGGGGTGTCTCAGGAGTATCCCGGGGGTTTTTGGGGGGTCCCAGGGGATCCCAGAGTTGTCCCTGGGGGTCTCAGGAGCATCCCAGAAGGGTCTCAGGGGTTTTTGGGGATCTCAGGGGGTTTTTGGGGGTCCCAGGGGGTTTTTGGGGATCTCAGGGGGTTTTTGGGGGTCTCAGGGGGTTTTTGGGGGTCCCAGGTGGGTTTTGGGGATCTCAGGGGGTTTTTGGGGGTCTCAGGGGGTTTTTTGGGGGTCCCAGGTGGTTTTTGGGGGTCCCAGGGGTTTTTTGGGGGTCTCACCATGCCCCTGGCCCACTCGTAGACCACCTGGACCAGGCTGAAGCCGAAAACTGGGCCACGAAGTCGTCGGGGCCGGGCCCGAGGCCGCGCTGCTGCTCCAGCCGGGCCACGCGGGCGGCGACGGCGCGGAGCCGCTCCAGGGCCTGGGAGGGACCCAAAGTGCCCCAAAATCACCCCCAAAATCCACCCACAGCTGCTCCAGGGGCCTGGGGGCAACACACCCAGAGAGCCCCGAAATCACCCCAAAATCACCCCCAAATCACCCCAATATCACCCTCAAATCACCCCCAAAATCACCCCCAAAATCACCCCCAATATCCCCCCCAAACCCTCCAATATGCCCCCCAAATCCCCCAATATCCCCCCCAAACTGCTCTGAACCCCCCAATATCCTCCCCAAACCCCCCGATATCCCCCCCAAACCCCCCGATATCCCCCCAAACACCCCAATATCCCCCCAAACCCCCCGATATCCCCCCCAAATCTCCCGATATCCTCCCCAAACCCCCCGATATCCTCCCCAAACACCCCAATATCCCCCCAAACCCCCCGATATCCCCCCAAACCCCCCGATATCCCCCCAAATCCCCCGATATCCCCCCCAAATCCCTCGATATCCCCCTGATATCCTCCCAAACCCCCCGATATCCCCCCCCAAACCCCCCGATATCCCCCCCAAATCCCTCGATATCCCCCCGATATCCCCCCCAAACCCCCCGATACCCCCCCCCCCAGGCGGTGTCACCTGAGCGAGGGCGGGGGGCAGCCCCTCGGGCGGGGGCTCCCCGCGGCCGGGGGTCACCAGGCACGAGAGCAGCGCCACGCTCTCCTCGGGCCGCAGCGGGGCCAGGACATTGCCCAGCAGGAGCTCGGTCAGCACCAACTGCTCCGTGCTCAGCAGCGCCGCCACGCGGCCGCCCAGCGCCACCGCGCCCCCCGAGACGTAACCGAGCTCCCGAGAGCACCTGGGGGTCACACGGGGGTCATTGGGGTCATACAGGGGTCATACAGGGGTCAGACAGGGGTCATACAGGGTCACTGAGGTCATACAGGGGACACAGGGACACACAGAGCCCCCAGCGCCACCGCGCCCCCCCGAGACGTAACCGAGCTCCGAGAGGACCTGGGGGTCACACGGGGGTCATACAGGGGTCACTGAGGTCAGACAGGGGTCAGTGGGGTCATACAGGGGTCACACAGGGGTCACTGAGGTCAGACAGGGGTCACAGAGGTCACACAGGGGTCAGTGGAGGTCCCCACCTGGAGGCGCCGGCAGCAGCAGGGACTGGGGGGGATCCCAGGGGGTTTTGGGGTATTTTGGGGTGATTTTGGGGTATTTTTGGGGTTTTGTTTTTGGGGTGGTTTTGGGGTATTTTTGGGTCATTTTGGGGTGGTTTGGGGGTATTTTTGGGGTGTTGTTTTTGGGGTGATTTTGGGGTATTTTTGGGGTGTTGTTTTGGGGTATTTTTGGGGTTTTTTGGGGTGTTTTGGGGGTGTTTTAGGGGTGATTTTGGGGTGATTTGGGGTATTTTTGGGGTGTTGTTTTTGGGCTGTTTTTGGGGTGATTTTGGGCTGTTTTTGGGGTGTTTGTCCCCACTTCGAGGCGCTGGTGGTACTCAGGCAGCAGCAGCAGCAGCAGGGACTGGGGCAGTTTTGGGGTGATTTTGGGGTATTTTTGGGGTGTTGTTTTTGGGGTGATTTGGGGTGATTTTGGGGGTGTTTTTGGGGTATTTTTGGGCTGTTTTTGGGCTGTTTTTGGGGTGTTTTGGGCCCACCTCGAGGCGCTGGTGGTACTCGGGCAGCAGCAGCAGGGACTGGGGTGATTTTGGGGTGTTTTGGGGTGATTTTGGGGTATTTTTGGGCTGTTTTTCGAGTGTTTGTCCCCACTTCGAGGCGCTGGTGGTACTCGGGCAGCAGCAGCAGGGACTGGGGTGATTTTGGGCTGATTTTGGGGTATTTTTGGCTGTTTTTGGGCTGTTTTTGGGGTGTTTTTCCCCACCTCGAGGCGCTGGTGGTACTCGGGCAGCAGCAGCAGGGACTGGTCCGACAGCTGGAACTGCAGCTCCTCCAGCTGCTGCAGCAGCTCCTGCCTGGCGGCGAACTGGGAGTACTGGGAGGGACACGGGGAGGGGCTCAGGGGGGGCCTGAACCCCAAAACAGCCCCAAAAACCCCTCAAAATCCCTCAAAAACAGCCCCAAAAACCCCTCAAAACCCCTCAAAACAGCCCCAAAAACCCCCCGAAATCCCTCAAAATCCCCTAAAATCCCTCAAAACTCCCCCAAAATCCCTCAAAACTCCCCCAAAATCCCTCAAAACCCCCAAAACCCCCCCAAAATCCCAAATCCCAGCCCCGTTCTGCACCTGCTGGGGGAAGCGGGGCCTGCGCAGGGACCCCAAAATGGGGCAGAGCCCAACTCCCCCTCCCCAAAATCCCCCCCAAAAATCCCCCCAAAATCCCCTCAAATCCCCAAAAATCCCCCCAAAATCCCCTCAAATCCCCCCAAAACCCCCCTCAAAACTCCCCAAAATCCCCTGAAAATCCACCCCAAATCCCCCCAAAATCTCCCCCAAACTCCCCTGAACCCCCCAAAACCCCCCAAATCCCCCCAAAATCTCCCCCAAACTCCCCTGAACCCCCCAAAACCCCCCAAATCCCCCCAAAATCCCCCCCAAACCCCCCTGTCCCCCCCATTTCCATACCTGCTGTGGGAAGCGGGGGCTCCTCACGCACCTGAAGCCCCTCAGGGACCCCAAAATGGGGCAGAACCCCCCAAATCCCCCCAAAATGCCCCAAATCCCCCCCATTTCCGTACCTGCTGTGGGAATCGGGGCTCCTCACGCACCTGAAGCCCCTCAGGGACCCCAAATCCCCCCCAAAATCCCCAAATCCCCCCAAACTGCCCCATTTCCGTACCTGCTGGGCGAAGCGGGGGCTCCTCACGCACCTGAAGCCCCTCAGGGACCCCAAATCCCCCCCAAAATCCCCCCAAACTCCCCCATTCCGTACCTGCTGTGGGAAGCGGGGGCTCCTCACGCACCTGAAGCCCCTCAGGGCCGCCCCCAGAATGGAGCAGAACCCGACTCCCCCTCCCCAAAATACCCCCAAATCCCCCCCAAATCCCCCCAAAATGCCCCCAAATCCCCCCCAAACCCCTCAAATCCCCCCAAAATCCCCCCAAAATGCCCCATTTCCATACCTGCTGTGGGAAGCGGGGGCTCCTGACGCACCTGAAGCCCCTCAGGGACCCCAAACCCCCCCAAATCCCCCCAAAATGCCCCAAATCCCCCCATTTCCGTACCTGCTGTGGGAATCGGGGGCTCCTCACACACCTGAAGCCCCTCAGGGCCGCCCCAGCCCCCTGAGCTCGGCCGCCGCCGCCGCCGCCTCGGGGTCGCGCCCGGGGGGGACCCCAAAGGCCTCGAGCAGGGGCAGCCCCCCCCTCCCTGCCGGCCCCCCCCGCCAGCCGGGCCAGCTCCTGCAGGGCGGCAGCGAGACCCCCGCCAGGGGGGGGGGAGCTGGGGGGAAATGGGGAATGTGAGGGGGGGACCCCAAAATGTACAGCAGGAACCCCAAAATGCAGACCCCCGCCAGCCGGGCCAGCTCCTGCAGGGCGGCAGCGAGACCCCCGCCAGGGGGGGGGGAGCTGGGGGGAGAGAGCCCCAAAATCAACAACGGGAACCCCAAAAATGTACAACAGGAACCCCGAAATCCAGACCCCCGCCGCCGGGCCAGCTCCTGCAGGGCGGCAGCGAGACCCCCGCCAGGGGGGGGGGAACTGGGGAGGGGAAACCCAAAAATCAACAACAGGAACCCCAAAAATGTACAGCAGGAACCCCAAAAATCAACAGGGGGACCCCAAAATCCAGACCCCTGCCCGGGGGGGGGGAACTGGGGGGAGAGAGCCCCAAAATCAACAGGAACCCCAAAAATGTACAGCAGGAACCCCAAAATGTACAACAGGAACCCAAAATGTACAGCAGGAACCCAAAATGTACAGCAGGACCCCAAAATCCACAGCAGGAACCCAAATGTACAACAGGAACCCCAAAATCCAGACCCCGCCGGGGGGGGGGAACTGGGGGGAGAGAGCCCAAAAATCAACAAGAGGAACCCCAAAAATCAACAGGGGGACCCCCAAAATCAACAGTGGGACCCCGAAATCCAGACCCCCGCCCGGGGGGAGGGAACTGGGGGGAGAGAGCCCCAAAATCAACAACAGGAACCCCAAAAATCAACAACAGGAACCCCAAAAATCAACAGTGGGACCCAAAAATCAACAGTGGGACCCCAAAAATCAACAACAGGAACCCCAAAAATCAACAACAGGAACCCCAAAATCCAGACCCCCGCCCGGGGAGGGGGGGAACTGGGGGAAAAGGGGGAAATGTGAGGGGGGGACCCCAATATTCATGGGGGAACCCCAAAATCAACAGCAGGAGCCCAAAATCCCCCCCCAAGACCCCCAATTTTCCCCCCAGAACCCCCAATTTCCCCCCAGTCCCCCCAGTTCCCCCCCAGAACCCCCAATTCCCCCCCAGGACCCCCAATTTCCCCCAGAACCCCCCAATTCCCCCCAGAACCCCCAATTCCCCCCCAGAACCCCCAATTTCCCCCCAGTCCCCCCAGTTCCCCCCAGTCCCCCCGCACCGGGGCCGGGGTCCCCTCGGGGGGCGCAGCTCCTGCAGCAAAGTTTCGGGGTTCACCCTCAGGCTCTTGGCCGTGACCCCCACGATGTCCTCGGGGCGCAGCTGCTCCAGGCAGTGCCCGGGGGGCCTGGGGGGGACCCCAAAACCTTCAGGGACACCCCCAGGGACCCCAAGAGGGACCCAGGAACCCCAAATCCCCTTTAGGGACCCCAAAACCTTCAGGGACACCCCAGGCACCCCAAAAGGGACCCAGGAACCCCAAATCCCCTTTAGGGACCCCCAAATCCCCTTTAGGGACCCCAAAAGGGACCCAGGAACCCCAAATCCCCTTTAGGGACCCCAAAAGGGACCCAGGAACCCCAAATCACCTTTAGGGACCCCAAATCACCTTTAGGGACCCCAAAACTCACCCAGGACCCCCCAAACCCTCCCCAGAACAGACCCAGGAGCCCCCCCAAATCCATCCCCAAATCTCTCAGGGTCCCCCCCAAAACTGACCCAGGACCCCCAAACCCCCCCCAGAACAGACCCAACCCCCCCCCAAACCCCCTTTAACCCCCCCCAGAACAGACCCAGGACCCCCCCAAACCCCCTTTAAAACCCCCCCAGATCTCTCAGGGTACCCCAAAACTGACCCAGGAACCCCAAACGCCCCCCAAATTGACCCAGGAACCCCAAATCACCTTTAGGGACCCCAAAACTGACCCAGGACCCCCAAACCCTCCCCAGAACAGACCCAGGACCCCCCCCAAACCCCCTTTAGCCCCCCCAGAACAGACCCAGGACCCCCAAACGCCCCCCAAACTGACCCAGGAACCCCAAATCTCTCAGGGTCCCCCCCAAAACTGACCCAGGAACCCCAAACCCTCGCCAGAACAGACCCAGGAGCCCCCCAAAACCCCCCTTAAACTCCCCCAAATCTCTCAGGGTACCCCAAAACTGACCCAGGAACCCCAAATCATCTTTTAGGGACCCCAAAACCCCCTTAAACCTCCCCAAATCCATCCTGGGGATCCCCTAAATCTGTTAGAGTCCCCCCAAATCTGACCCAGGAACCCCAAATCACCTTTAGGGACCCCAAAACCTCCCCAGAACGGACTCAGGAGCCCCCCAAAACCCCAGGGACCCCTTAAACCTCCCCAAATCCATCCCCAAACCTCTCAGGATCCCCCCAAATCACCTTTAGGGACCCCAAAACTGACCCAGGAACCCCAAATCACCTTTAGGGACCCCAAAACTCACCCAGGACCCCCCCAAACCCTCCCCAGAACAGACCCAGGGCTCCCCCAAAACCCCTTTAACCCCCCCAAATCCATCCCCAAAACTGACCCAGGAACCCCAAATCACCTTTAGGGACCCCAAAACTGACCCAGGACCCCCAAACCCCCCCCAAAACTGACCCAGGACCCCCCCAAACCCCCCCCAAACCCCCTTTAGCCCCCCCAGACCCCTCCAGGACCCCCCCAGCCCCGCCCCCAGCCCGGGTGTCCCCCCCTTTTTCCCCCCCCGGATTTTGGGGTGCAGACCCTCGGGCAGGAAGAGGCGGGTGAGCAGCAGCTCCTCGGGGTAGGGCACGTCCTGGGGGGGCTCCGGGGGGGCTCCCCCATCCTCGGGGGGCTTCTCACAGAGCACCAGAGCCGTGAAGGAGCGGCCCGAGCCCCCCGCGCCCCCCGCGCTCACCTGGGGGAGTGGGAAAGGGATTTTGGGGGGGTTTGGGGGGATTTGGGGGTGATTGAAAGGGGTTTGGGGGCATTGAAGGGGTTTGGGGGGCATTGAAAGGGGTTTGGGGGGATTGAAAGGGTTTGGGGGGGATTTGGGGGGATTTGGGGGGGATTTTGGGGGATTGAAAGGGTTTGGGGTGGATTGGGGGGGATTGGGGTAATTGAAAAGGTTTTGGGGGGAGTTTAGGGGGCTTGAAAGGGTTTTGGGGGGAATTGAAAGGGTTTGGGGGGGATTTGGGGGGATTTGGGGGGGATTTTGGGGGATTGAAAGGGTTTGGGGGGGATTTGGGGGGATTTGGGGGGGATTTTGGGGGATTGAAAGGGTTTTGGGGCGATTGAAAGGGGTTTGGGGGGTTTGGGGGGGATTGAAAAGGTTTTGGGGGGAGTTTGGGGAGATTGAAAGGGTTTGGGGGGGATTTTGGGGGGTTTGGGGGGGATTTTGGGGGGTTTGGGGGGGATTGGAAGGGGTTTTGGGGGGATTTGGGGGGGATTGAAAGGGGTTTGGGGGTTTTGGGGGAGATTGGGGGGATTGAAAGGGGTTTGGGGGCCATTTGGGGGGAGTTTGGGGGTTTTAGGGGGCTTTGGGGGGCATTGAAAGGGTTTGGGGGGAGTTTGGGGGAAGTTTGGGTGGGTTTGGGTTATTTTGGGATATTTTGGGATATTTTGGCGTTATTTTGGGTACCTGCAGCACCAGCCCCAGCGCGTTGCGGTGTTTCAGGGGTGGTTTTGGGGTTATTTTTGGGTTATTTTGGGGGTGGTTTTGGGGGTGGTTTTTCGGTTTTTTTGGGGTTATTTTGGGATATTTTTGGGATATTTTAGGGTGTCTGTACCTGCAGCACCAGCCCCAGCGCGTTGCGGTGTTTCGGGGGTGTTTTTAGGGTTATTTTGGGATATTTTGGGATATTTTTGGGTGTTTTTTTACCTGCAGCACCAGCCCCAGCGCGTTGCGGTGTTTTGGGGGTGGTTTTAGGGTTATTTTGGGGTTATTTTGGGGTTATTTTGGGGTTATTTTGGGGTGTTTTTAGGGTGTCTGTACCTGCAGCACCAGCCCCAGCGCGTTGCGGTGTTTTGGGGTGGTTTTGGGGGGTTTTTGGGGTTATTTTGGGATATTTTTGGGGTTATTTTTGGATATTTTTGGGTGTTTTTTTACCTGCAGCACCAGCCCCAGCACGTTGCGGTGTTTCGGGGGTGGTTTTGGGGTGGTTTTGGGGTGGTTTTGGGGTGTTTTTAGGGTGTTTTGGGTGTTTTTTACCTGCAGCACCAGCCCCAGCGCGTTGCGGTGTTTCGGGGGTGTTTTTAGGGTTATTTTGGGATATTTTGGGATATTTTTGGGGTGTTTGTACCTGCAGCACCAGCCCCAGCGCGTTGCGGTGTTTCGGGGGTGTTTTTAGGGTTATTTTGGGATATTTTGGGGTTATTTTGGGTGGTTTTTTACCTGCAGCACCAGCCCCAGCGCGTTGCGGTGTTTCGGGGGTGGTTTTAGGGATATTTTAGGGTTATTTTGGGGTGTTTTGGGTGTTTTTTTACCTGCAGCACCAGCCCCAGCGCGTTGCGGTGTTTCGGGGGTGGTTTTGGGGTTATTTTGGGATATTTTGGGATATTTTTGGGTGTTTTTGTACCTGCAGCACCAGCCCCAGCACGTTGCGGTGTTTCGGGGGTGGTTTTGGGGTGTTTTTGGGGTGGTTTTGGGGTGTTTTTAGGGTGTTTTGGGTGTCTGTACCTGCAGCACCAGCCCCAGCGCGTTGCGGTGTTTCGGGGTGCTCACCACCACCACCCTGCCCGGGCTCAGCACCCGCTGCCCCCCCGGCTGTGCCAGGCACCTCTGCGGACCCCAGACCCCGTTATGGGGGGACAGGGGGGCACTGGGACCCCCCCCAGGACCCCCCTGAACCCCCCCAGAGCCCAGGGATCCCCACGGGGACACCCCCAGTGTCCCCAAGCCCCAAATGTGCCCCCCCAGTGTCCCCAGGACCCCCCAAATGTGAGCCCCAGGTGTCCCCCAATGTCTCCCCAGGTGCCCCAATGTCCCCCCAGGTGTCCCTGTGTCCCCCCCAGGTGTCCCCCAATGTCCCCCCAGCTGTCCCCCAGGTGTCCCTGTTTCCCCCCAGGTGCCCCCCAGGTGTCCCTGTCCCCCCAGCTGTCCCTGTTTCCCCCCAGGTGTCCCCCAGGTGTCCCCTGTCCCCCCCAGCTGTCCCTGTTTCCCCCCAGGTGTCCCCCAGGTGCCCCCCAGCTGTCCCTGTCCCCCCCAGCTGTCCCTGTCCCCCCCAGCTGTCCCCCCAGCTGTCCCTGTTTCCCCCCAATGTCCCCCCCAGCTGTCCCCCAGCTGTCCCTGTTTCCCCCCCAATGTCCCCCCCAGGTGTCCCCAGGCTCACCTGCAGCACGCTGCGGGCGCGGCGCAGCGCCACCACGGCCTGGTGGTACTGGGGCAGGTCCCCGAGGTCCCCGGGCGTCTCCTCGGGGTCCCCCAGCGCCGCCAGCGCCTCCCTGAGGGCGGCCACGCGCCGGGTCTGGGCCTGGGGGGACACGGGGGGGACACGGGGGGGGACACGGGGGGACATGGGGGGACATGGGGGGACATGGGGGGACACAGGGGGGGACACGGGGGGACACAGGGGGGGACATTACTGGGGGTGCCAGAGCTCCCAGTCCTTACTGGGACAGCCCAGGGTCCATACTGGGACAGCCCAGGGTCCTTAATGGGACAGCCCAGTGTCCATACTGGGACAATCCCAGTGTCCTTACTGGGACAGCCCAGGGTCCATACTGGGACAGCCCAGGGTCCTTAATGGGACAGCCCAGTGTCCATACTGGGACAATCCCAGGGTCCTTACTGGGACAGCCCAGTGTCCTTAATGGGGCAATCCCAGTGTCCATACTGGGACAATCCCAGTGTCCTTACTGGGACAGCCCAGGGTCCTTAATGGGACAATCCCAGTGTCCATACTGGGGAAATCCCAGTGTCCTTAATGGGACAGCCCAGTGTCCTTACTGGGGAAATCCCAGTGTCCTTACTGGGACAGCCCAGTGTCCTTACTGGGGAAATCCCAGTGTCCTTACTGGGACAGCCCAGTGTCCTTAATGGGACAATTCCAGTGTCCATACTGGGACAGGCCAGTGTCCTTAATGGGACAGCCCAGTGTCCTTACTGGGACAGCCCAGTGTCCTTAATGGGACAGCCCAGGGTCCTTAATGGGGACAGCCCAGTGTCCATACTGGGACAATCCCAGTGTCCTTAATGGGACAGCCCAGTGTCCTTACTGGGGCAATCCCAGTGTCCTTACTGGGAGTACCAGAGCTCCCAGTCCATACTGGGACACTCCCAGTACCCCCCAGTCCATCCCAGTCCATCCCAGTGCCCCCCAGTCCCTCCCAGTGCCCCCCAGTCCATCCCAGTCCCCCCCAGTCCATCCCAGTCCCTCCCGGTGCCCACCGTGGCGTCGCGACGCAGCGGGAACTCGGCGAAGCTGCAGCGCATGAGGTTGTGGCTGCTCCCAGTATATCCCAGTGCCCCCCAGTATATCCCAGTGCCCCCCAGTCCATCCCAGTGCCCCCCAGTCCCTCCCGGTGCCCACCGTGGGCGTCGCGGCGCAGCGGGAACTCGGCGAAGCTGCGGCGCATGAGGTCGTGGGGGCGCAGGGCGGGCGCGCGCAGCAGCAGCAGGATCATGGGGTACGTCAGGCGGAACCGCGACTGCAGCGGCGACGGGCGCCCTGCGCGGGGGACACACGGGCGGTGACGGTGACACACGGGCGGTGACGGTGACACGCGGGCGGTGACGGTGACACACGGGCGGTGACGGTGACACACGGGCGGGGACACGGCGGGGACACCAGGCCCGGCGCTCACCAGCATCATGCGGTGCAGGTCGGACAGCTCGGGCACCGGGCCCTTGCACAGGATGATGACGGTGCCGGTGGCGTCCAGCCCGCGGCGCCCGGCGCGCCCCGACATCTGCGTGTACTCGCCTGGGGGACACAAAAAGGTGACGCACGGCCCTGCCCCGCAGGAAGGTGATTTTCTTGTTTGCTTCTCATAGAAACTACTGGTTTTACCCTCGTGTTTGCTGCCATTTTCCCCTCACGTTTTCCCGCCCTTTTCCCCTCACGTTTTCCCGCCCTTTTCCCCTCACATTTCTCCCCATTTTCCCCTCACATTTCCCGCCCTTTTCCCCTCACGTTTCTCTCCATTTTCCCCTCATGTTTTCCCGCCCTTTTCTCCTCATGTTTTCCCGCTCTTTTCCCCTCACGTTTTCCCGCCCTTTCCCCCTCACGTTTTCCCGCCCTTTTCCCCTCACATTTTCCCACTCTTTTCCCCTCACGTTTCCTGCTATTTTTCCTCTCACATTTCTCGTCACTTTTCCCCTCACAGTTCTTATAATTTTGTCCTCACATTTCTCTCCATTTTCCCCTCATGTTTTCCACCCTTTTTCCCCTCACCTGGAGGGACACAAAGGCACAAAGGTGACGCACGGCCCTGCCCCGCAGAAAGGTGATTTTCTTGTTTGCTTCTCATAGAAACTACTGGTTATACCCTCGTGTTTGCTGCCATTTTCCCCTCACGTTTTCCCGCCCTTTTCCCCTCACGTTTTCCCGCCCTTTTCCCCTCACGTTTTCCACCCTTTTCCCCTCACATTTTCCCGCCATTTTCCCCTCACATTTTCCCGCCCTTTTCCCCTCACGTTTGTCTCCATTTTCCCCTCACGTTTCCCGCCCTTTCCCCCTCACGTTTCTCTCCATTTTCCCCTCACGTTTTCCCGCCCTTTTCCCCTCACGTTTCCTGCTATTTTTCCTCTCACATTTCTCGTCACTTTTCCCTCACGTTTCTCTCCATTTTCCACTCACATTCCTCTCCATTTTCCCCTCACATTTCCCACCATTTTCCCCTCACATTCCTCGTCATTTTCCCCTCACATTTCCTGCCCTTTTCCCCTCACATTTCTCGCCATTTTCTCCTCACCTTTCCCACTTTTTCTCCCTCACGTTTCTCGTCATTTTCCCCTCACATTTCCCACTATTTCCCCCCTCACATTTTCCACACTTTTCCCCTCACATTTCACACCCTTTCCCCCTCACGTTTCCCACACTTTTCCCCTCACATTTCCCACCCTTTTCCCCTCATGTTTCCCACTCTATTTCCCCCATGTTACCCACAATTAAAACTCTATTTCCTTCATTCCCCTTCAGTTTCTTCTCCCATATTTCCACTTTCTCTCAATCTCATTTTTCCCCTGTTTTTTCTCTCACCTTTCCCACCCTTTTCCCTTCACATTTTTCACCCCTTTTCCACCCCGTTGCCGCCATTTCCCCGGTTTTTTCTCTCAGCTCTCCCACCCCTTTTCCTTCACGCTTTTCACCCCTTTTCCACCCACGGAGGACGCGGCACCGAACCCCAAACGTGGCCCCACACCTGGCAGGAGGTCACGGAAGCTGTTCCCGTCGTGTTTGCGGATGGAGTCGAAGACCACGGTCCGTGCCGGCATGTTCACCCCCATGGCGAAGGTCTCGGTGGCAAACAGCACCTGGGGCAGGTTTGGGGCAGGTTTGGGGCAGGTTTGGGGCAGATTTGGGGCAGATTTGGGGCAGTTTAGGGCAGATTTGGGGCAGTCTGGGGCAGTTTTGGGGCAGGTGTTTGGGGCAAGTTTTTGGGGCAGATTCAGGCAGGTTTGGGGAAGGTTTTTGGGGCAGGTAGAGGACAGGTTTTTGGGGCAGATTTGGGGCAGGTTTGAGCCAGGTTTGGGGAAAGTTTTTGGGGCACATGCAGGACAGGTTTTTGGGGCAGATTTCTACAGGTTTGGGGAAGGTTTTTGGGGCAGATTTGGGCAGGTTTGGGGAAGGTTTTTGGTACAGGTACAGGACAGGTTTTTGGGGCAGATTTGTACAGGTTTGGGGCAGGTTTTTGGGGCAGATTTGGGGCACATTTGTACAGGTTTGGGGAAGGTTTTTGGGGCAGATTTGTACAGGTTTGAGGAAGGTTTTTGGGGCAGGTACAGGACAGGTTTTTGGGGCAGATTTTGGCAGGTTTGGGGCAGGTTTGAGCCAAGTTTGGGGCAGATTTGTACAGGTTTTTGGGGCAGGTTTTTGGGGCAGATTTGGGGCAGATTTGTACAGGTTTGGGGCAGGTTTTTGGTACAGGTACAGGACAGGTTTTTGGGGCAGATTTGGGCAGGTTTGAGCCAAGTTTTTGGGGCGGATTTGTACAGGTTTGGGGAAGGTTTTTGGGGCAGGTACAGGACAGGTTTTTGGGGCAGATTTGGGCAGGTACAGGGCAGGTTTTTGGGGCAGATTTGGGGCAGGTTTTTGGGGCAGATTTGGGCAGGTTTGGGGCGACCTGTGAGGTGGCAGCACCCGTCCCCACACACCTTGACCAGCCCCTGGCTGAAAAGCATCTCCACGATCTCCTTGAGCAGGGGCAGGACCCCGCCATGGTGGACGCCGATGCCGCGCTGCAGCAGGTCCGAGAGCTGCAGCACCTGGGGAAGGGGAAAGGGAGGGGAAACGTGGAGAAAACATGGAGAGAATATGGGGAAAACATGGGGAGGACATGGAGGGAACATGGAGGGGATATGGAGGGGACATGGAGGGAATATGGAGGGGAAAATGGAGGGGACATGGAGGGAACATGGAGGGGAACATGGAGGGAATATGGAGAGGGAATATGGAGGGAACATGGAGGGAAACATGGAGGGGAACATGGAGGAAATATGGAGAGGATATGGAGAGGAAGATGGAGTGGGAATGTGGAGGGAATATGGAGGAAACATGGAGGGAACATGGAAGGAATATGGAGGGAACACGGAGGAACATGGAGGGAATATGGAGGGAACATGGAGGAAATATGGAGGAAATATGGAGAGAACATAGAAGGAATATGGAGGAACATGGAGGGGATATGGAGGAACATGGAGGGGATATGGAGGAACATGGAGGGAACATGGAGAAAACATGGAGAGAACATAGAGGGGATATGGAGGAACATGGAGGGAATAGGGAGGGAATATGGAGAGAACATGGAGAAAACATGGAGGAGAACATGGAGGGGATATGGAGAGAAAATGGACGGCGACATGGAGAAAACGTAGAGGGAACATGGAGGGGGAATAGGGAGGGAATATGGAGGGGACATGGAGAGAACGTGGAGAGAATGTGGAGGGGGAACACCCATCCCCACATCCCCAAAATCCCCCTTTTTGCCCCCAAAACCCCCCTTTTTGCCCCCAAAATCCCCTTTTTCCCCCCAAAATCCCCCTTTTTCCCCCCCAAACCCCCCTCTTTCCCCCCCAAACCCCCCATTTTTCCCCCCCAAATCCCCACCTGGGGCAGGCGGCGGTCGGAGCCGCGCAGCCGGGCCAGGCAGCGCGTCAGGAACTGGCGCACCTGGGCGCGCTCGGGGCCGCTGAGCAGCTCCAGCGAGCCCAGCGCCGCCGCCTGCTCCTCGCAGCGGCCCCGCGAGAAGGTGAAGGTGACGGCGGGGAGCAGCTCCCGCTCGCGGAGCGTCTCCAGCAGCGACAGCCACACGCCCCGCTCCTGGGGAGGGGGGAAAATGGGGGTTAGAGGGACCCCCCAGAACGGACCCCAGACCCTGCAGACCCTGCTGGACCTGCCCAAAGCAGCCCCCAGACCCCCTGCTCCTGGTGAGGGGAGAAAATGGGGTTAGGGGGACCCCCAGAACAGCCCCCAGACCCCCTGCTCCTGGGGAGGGGGAAAAATGGGGTTAGGGGGACCCCCAGAACAGCCCCCAGACCCTGCAGACCCTGCTGGACCTGCCCAGAGCAGCCCCCAGACCCTGCAGACCCCCCGCTCCTGGAGGGGGGAAAAACGGGGTTAGGGGGACCCCCAGAACAGTCCCCAGACCCCCTGGACCCCCTGCTCCTGGGGAGGGGGGAAAATGGGGTTAGAGGGACCCCAGAACAGCCCCCAGACCCCCCAGACCCCCCCGTACCTGCCCGGGGACCCCCATAGAAGCCCCCAGCCCCCCGTACCTGCCCAGGGACCCCCAGAGAAGCCCCCAGACCCCCCGGACCCCCCGTACCTGCCCGGGGTTGGAGCCCCCCATGCTGGGCTGCCGTGCCCCAAAGCTCTGGGCGTGTTTGCTGCTCTGCTCCTTCTTGGCCTCCACCGCTGCGTAGTACCTGGGGCAGGTTTGGGGCAGGTGTGGGGCAGGTTTGGGGCAGGTTTTTAGAGCAGGTTTGGGGCAGATTTGGGCAGGTTTTTGGGTCAGATTCAGGTGGGTTTGGGTGAGGTGCATGGCAGGTTGTGGGGCAGGTTTTTGGGGCAGGTTTGGGGCAGGTTTTTGGGTCAGATTGAGGCAGGTTTGGGGCAGGTTTTTGGGGCAGATTCAGGTGGGTTTGGGGCAGATTTTTGGGTTAGATTCAGGTGGGTTTGAGGCAGGTTTTTGGGGCAGGTTCTTGGGTCAGATTGAGGCGGTTTGGGGCAGGTTTTTGGGTCAGATTGAGGCAGCTTTGGGGCAGGTTTTTGGGGCAGGATTTTGGGTCAGGTTTTTGGGGCAGGTGTTTGGGTCAGGTTTTTGGGTCAGATTGAGGCGCTTTGGGGCAGGTTTTGGGTCAGATCCAGGCACGTTTGGGTCAGGTTTTTGGGTCAGATTGAGGCAGGTTTGGGGCAGGTTTTTGGGGCAGGTGTTTGGGGCAGATTCAGGTGGGTTTGGGTCAGGTTTTTGGGTCAGGTTTTTAGGTCAGATTCAGGTGGGTTTGGGGCAGGTTTTTGGGTCAGATTGAGGCAGGTTTGGGTCAGGATTTTGGGTCAGGTGTTTGGGTCAGGATTTTGGGTCAGGTTTTTGGGTCAGGATTTTGGGTCAGGATTTTGGGTCAGGATTTTGGGTCAGGATTTTGGGTCAGATTCAGGCAGGTTTGGGTCAGGTTTGGGTCAGGTTTTTGGGTCAGATTCAGGTGGGTTTGGGTCAGGAGTTTGGGTCAGGATTTTGGGGCAGGTTTTTGGGGCAGGTTTTTGGGGCAGGTGTTTGGGTCAGGTGTTTGGGTCAGGTTTTTGGGTCAGGTTTTTGGGTCAGGATTTTGGGTCAGGTTTTTGGGGCAGGATTTTGGGTCAGGATTTTGGGTCAGATTCAGGCAGGTTTGGGTCAGGTTTGGGTCAGGATTTTGGGTCAGGAGTTTGGGTCAGGATTTTGGGTCAGGTGTTTGGGTCAGGTTTTTGTGTCTCACCCCTGCGTGCTGAAGGCCCCGCCCGGGCCCAGCAGCTGGAACAGCTGGTGCCGGGTGCGGGCGCTGTTGCCCGTGAACAGGAAATGCTCCAGCGGCACCGGCCGCCGGGGGGTGCTGATCACCCGCACGCAGCGGCGCTTGGTGCGCCTGAAACGGGGCCAAACGGCCGGAAATGGGGAAAAACGGGGCGGGAGCGGCCATGGGAACCCCCCCCTGCCCCCTGTCCCTGTCACCCCCACCCCAAAGCCCCCCAGGGATCCCCCAAACCACCCCAGGGACCCCACAAACCACCCCAGGGACCCCCAGATCCCCCTGGGGATCCTCAAAAGCCCCTCAGGGACCTCTCAAAGCCTCCCCAGAGCTCCTCAGGGACCCCCCAAAGCCCCCTGAGGATCCCCCAAAGCCCCCCAGGGACCCCCAAATCCCTCTGAGCATCCCCCAAAGTCTCTCAAGGACCTCTCAAGGCCTCCCCAGAGTTCCTCAGGGACCCCCCAAAGCCCCCAAGGACCCAAAAATTCCCCTGGTGACCCCCGAAGTTGCCCAAGAACCCCCAAAACCCCCTGGGGGACACTCAAAGCCCCCCAAAGCCCCACAGGGACCCCCAAATCCCCCTCAAGGACCCCCTCAGATTCCCCTGGGGACCCTCAAAGCCCCTCAAGGATCTCTCAAAGCCTCCCCAAACTTCCTCAGGGACCCCCAAATCCCCCTGAGCATCCCCCAAAGTCTCCCAAGGACCCCCCAAAGCCACTTGGGGACCCCCCAAACCACCCCAGGGACCCCCAGATCCCCCTGAGGATCCTCAAAAGCCCCTCAGGGACCTCTCAAAGCCTCCCCAGAGCTCCTCAGGGACCCCCCAAAGCCCCCTGAGCATCCCCAAAGCCCCCCAAGGACCCCCAAAGCCCCTGGGGATCCCCCAAAGCCCCCCAAGGACCCCCAAATCCCTCTGAGCATCCCCCAAAGTCTCTCAAGGACTTCTCAAATCTCCCTGGGGACCCCCAAAGTCTCTCAAGGACCCCCAAATCCCCCTGAGGATCCTCAAAAGCCCCTCAAGGACCCCTCAAAGACCCCAGGGACCCCACAAACCACCCCAGGGACCCCTCAAAGCCCCTCAAGGACCTCTCAAAGCCTCCTCAAAGCCCCCCAGGCACCCCCAAATCCCCCTGAGCACTCCCCAAAGTCTCTCAAGGACCCCCCCAAGACCCTCAGGGACCCTCAAAGCTCCTGGGGATCCCCCAAAGATCCCCAGGGACCCCCCAAACCACCCCAGGGACCTCTCAAAGCCTCCTCAAAGCCCCCCAGGGACCCCCAAATCCCCCTGAGCACTCCCCAAAGTCTCTCAAGGACCCCCCAAAGCCCTTGGGGACCCCCAAACCACCCCAGGGACCCCCCAAACCACCCCAGGGACCCCCAGATCCCCCTGGGGATCCTCAAAAGCCCCTCAGGGACCTCTCAAAGCCTCCCCAGAGCTCCTCAGGGACCCCCCAAAGCCCCTGAGGATCCCCCAAAGCCCCCCAAGATCCCCAAATCCCCCTGAGGATCCCCCAAAGCCCCCCAGGGACCCCCAAATCCCTCGGAGCATCCCCCAAAGTCTCTCAAGGATCCTCCAAAGCCCCTCAAGGACCCCTCAAATCCCTCTGAGCATCCCCTAAAGTCTCTCAAGGACCTCTCAAAGCCTCCTCAAAGTTCCTCAGGGACCCCCCAAAGCCCCCAAGGACCCACAAATTCCCCTGGTGACCCCCAAAGCTGCCCAAGAACCCCCAAAACCCCCTGGGGGACACTCAAAGCCCCCCAAAGCCCCACAGGGACCCCCCAAATCCCCCTCAAGGACCCCCTCAGATTCCCCTGGGGACCCTCAAAGCCTCTCAAGGATCTCTCAAAGCCTCCCCAAACTTCCTCAGGGACCTCCAAATCTCCTTGAGCTTCCCCAAAGTCTCTCAAGGACCCCCCAAAGCCCTTGGGGACCCCCAAACCACCCCAGGGACCCCCAGATCCCCCTGGGGATCCTCAAAAGCCCCTCAAGGATCTCTCAAAGCCTCCCCAAACTTCCTCAGGGACCCCCAAATCCCCCTGAGCATCCCCCAAAGTCTCCCAAGGACCCCCCCAAAGCCCATTGGGGACCCCCAAATCCCTCTGAGCACCCCCCAAAGTCTCTCAAGGATCCTCCAAAGCCCCTCAAGGACCCCCCCAAATACCCCCAGGGACCCTCAAAGCTCCTGGGGATCCCCCAAAGACCCCCAGGGACCCCACAAACCACCCCAGGGACCTCTCAAAGCCTCCTCAAAGCCCCCCAGGCACCCCCAAATCCCCCTGAGCACCCCCCGATTCCCCTGGGGACCCCCAAATCCCCCTGAGCACCCCCCAAAGCCCCTCAAGGACCCCCCAAAGACCCCCAGGAACCCCTCAAGGACCCCTCAAAGCCCCCAGAGCCCCCCCAAAGCCCCCCGGGGTCCTTACCCGACCCACTGGGCGAACTCGAGGGCGTTGGGCACGGTGGCGCTGAGCAGCACCAGCTTCACGTGCTCGGGCAGCAGGATCAGCACCTCCTCCCACACCACGCCCCTCTGCGGGCCCAAACGGGGCTCAGGGGGACCCCAAAACCGCCGGGAACCCCAGAAACCAACCCAGGAACTACGGGAACCCCAAAAACTCCACCAGGAACCCCAGAAACCCCACCAGGAACTACGGGAACCCCAAAAACCCCACCAGGAACCCCAAAAACCCCACCAGGATCTCTGGGAACCCCAAAAACCCCACCAGGAACCCCAAAAACCCACCAGGAACCCCAAAAAACCCCACCAGGAACCCCAAAAAAACCCCACCGGGAACCCCAAAAACCCCATCAGGAACTCTGGCAAAGCCCCCGCCCCCCCCAACACCATCATCATCATCACCATCACCATCATCATCATGATCGTCATCATCATCATCATCACCATCCTCATCGTCATCACCATCATCATCATCATCACCATCATCATCATCATCATCATGATTGTCATCATCATCATCATCACCATCCTCATCGTCATCACCATCATCACCATCACCATCATCATCATCACAATCACCATCATCATCACCATCATCATCATCATCATCATCATCACCATCACCATCACCATCATCACCATCACCATCACCATCACCATCACCACCATCATCATCACCATCCTCACCATCATCATCATGATCATCATCATTGTCATCATCATCATCATCACCATCACAATCACCATCACCATCACCATCATCACCATCATCATCACCATCATCACCATCACCATCACCATCATCACCATCATCACCATCACCATCATCATCATCATCACCATCACCATCACCACCATCATCATCATCACCATCATCACCATCATCATCATCATCATCACCATCATCATCATCATCATCATCATCACCATCATCATCACCATCATCATCACCATCATCATCATCATCATCATCATCACCATCATCATCATCATCATCACCGTCATCATCATCACCATCATCATCACCATCACCATCATCACCATCATCATCACCATCACCATCATCACCATCATCATCACCATCATCATCATCACCATCACCATCATCATCATCATCATCATCACCATCATCATCACCATCATCACCATCACCATCACCACACAGGAACTGCGCCATTCATTAGAAATGACCCCGCTGATGATGTCAGAGACCCCTCCAAGAGCCCCTAAAGCCCCTCAGGGACCCCCAAAATGCTCCCAGAGACCCCTCAGAGACCCCTAAAGCCCCTCAGGGACCCCCAAATCCCCCCCCCGAGCCCCCACCTCGTTGTCATTGACGTAGTGCACCTCATCGAAGATCACCCACTCCAGGTCCCGGATGGTGTCAGAGCCGTTGTACAGCATCGACCTGGGGGCAGGGGGATCCATGGGGAGGGGTCCCAGGGCTGGGGGATCCATTTGGGGAGGGGTCCCAGAGCAGGGGGATCCATGGGGAGGGGTCCCAGGGCTGGGGGATCCATGGGGAGGGGTCCCAGGGCAGGGAGATCCATGGGGAGGGGTCCCAGGGCAGGGGGATCCATGGGGAGGGGTCCCAGGGCAGGGGGATCCATTTGGGGAGGGGTCCCAGGGTTCAATTTGGGGAGGGGTCCCAGGGTAGGGGGATCCATTTGGGGAGGGGTCCCAGGGTTCAATTTGGGGAGGGGTCCCAGGGTAGGGGGATCCATTTGGGGAGGGGTCCCAGGGTTCAATTTGGGGAGGGGTCCCAGGGCAGGGGGATCCATTTGGGGAGGGGTCCCAGCACAAAGAGCTGAATTTGGGGAGGGGTCCCAGGACTCCATTTGGGGAGGGGTCCCAGAGCTCAATTTGGGGAGGGGTCCCAGCACAGAGAGCTCAGGGCCCCTCCCAGCAGCCCCGGCCCCTTTGTGGTCTCTGAATCGACCCCAGGAGCCCCCAGGACCCCTCAGGATCCCTCCAGGACCCCTTAGAACCCCCCAAGACCCCTCAGGACCCACCCAGGACCCCTCAGGTGTCCCCAGGACTCATCCAGGACCCACCCAGGACCCCTCAGGACCCCCCAGGATCCCTCAGGACCTCTCAGAATCCTCCAGGACCCACCCAGGACCTACTGAGAACCCAATCAGGACCCCCAAAGGACCCTCCAGAACCCTCTAGGACCCCTCAGGACCCACCAGGACCCCCCAGGACCCCTCAGAAACCCCCAGGACCCCTCAGGACCCACCCAGAATCCTCCATGACCCCCCCAGGACCCACTCAGGACCCCTCAGGATCCCCTCAGGACCCCTCAGGATCCCCCCAGAACCCACCCAGGACCCCTGAGGAGCCCCCAGGACCCCCCAGGACCCCTCAGAACCCACTCAGGACCCTTCCAGGACCCTCCATGACCCACTCAGGAGCCCCCAGAACCCACTCAGAACCTCTCAGGATCCCCTCAGGACCCACCAGGACCCCTCAGAAACCCCCAGGACCCCTAAGCACCCACCCAGAATCCTCCATGACCCCCCCAGGACCTCTCAGGACCCCTCAAGACCCACTCAGGACCCTCAAGGAGCCTCCATGACCCCTCAGGACCCACTCAGGAGCCACCCAGGACCCCCCAGAACCCTCTAGGACCCCTCAGCACCCCCCAGGACCCCCCCAGGACCCCTCAGGACCCACCCAGGACCCCCCAGAACCCTCTAGGACCCCTCAGCACCCCCCCAAAGGACCCCCAGGAGCCCCAAAAGGACGCCCCAGGAGCCCCAAAAGGACCCCCTGACCTGAGGATCTCGGTGGTCATGACCAGGCAGGCGGCCTCGGGGCGCAGCTGCACGTCCCCCGTCAGCAGCCCCACGTCCCCAAAGGTCTCGCGGAAATCCCGGAACTTCTGGTTGGACAGGGCCTTGATGGGGGACGTGTAGATGGACCTGGGGATGGGGAGGGGGCGGCTCAGAGACCCCCGGGGTGGGGGGACAGCTCAGAGACCCCCGGGGGGGGGAATTTGAGGGGGTTTGGGGGGGTTTGGGGGGATTGGGGTGATTGGGGAACATGGGGGGTTCACCCCAGAGACCCTCAGGGTGGTTTAGGGGGTCTGGGGACATTGGGGGGGGTCACCCCAGAGACCCCAAGGGTGGTTTGAGGGGTCTGGGGGTGACCAGGGAGGGGTTTGGGGGCATTTGAGGGCGTTTGGGGACATTGGGGGGGGTCCCCCGAGGGGTTTGAGGGGGTCTGGGGACAGGCTTGGGGTCACCCCAGAGACCCCCAGGGGGGTTTAAGGGGTCTGGGGGTGACCAAGGAAGGGTTTGGGGGGGTTTGAGGGAGTTTGGGGACATGGGGGGGTCACCCCAGAGACCCCCGGGGGGGGAATTTGGGGGGGTTTGGGGGGGTTTGGGGACATGGGGGAGTCACCCCGAGGGGTCTGGGGACGATCAGGGAGGGGTTTGGGGACATTGAGGGGGTCACCCAAGGGGTTTGGGGGGGTTTGAGGGGGTCTGGGGGCGATCAGGGAAGGGTTTGGGGACATTGAGGGGGTCCCCCAAGGGGTCTGGGGGCGATCAGGGAGGAGTTTGGGGACACCCTGGGGGGACACAGAGAGGACCTGGAGAGGCTTTGGGGATCCCAGGGAGGTTTTGGGGCCCCCTGAGGCAGTTTTAGAGACCCCCGAGGAGGTTTTAGGACTCCCCAAGGTGGTTTTGGTGCCTCCAAGGTGTTTTTGGGGTCCCCCGAAGGCGTTTTTGGTGCCCCCAGAGACATTTCTGGGGTCTCCAGGGGCGTTTTTGGGGTCCCTGAAGGCGTTTTTGGGGTCCCTGAAGGCATTTTTGGGGTCCCTGAAGGCATTTTTTGAGGTCCCTGAAAGCGTTTTTCAGGTCCCCGAAGGCGTTTTTGGGGTCCCTGAAGGCATTCTTGGGGTCCCTGAAGGCATTTTTGAGGTCCCCGAAGGCGTTTTTAGGGTCCCCGGGGCAGTTTCTGGGCTCTCACCGGGTCATGTGTCTCCGGGCCAGCGCGATCGCGTACTCGGCCACCGCCGTCTTCCCGGCCGAGGTGTGGGCGGCCACCAGGACGGAGTGACCGCGCTCCAGGCACAGGGCAGCGCGCTGCTGGAACGGGTCTGGCTGGAATGGCCACTGCAAAGGGGCAAAAACGGGGATTGGGGGCACCCCAAAACCCCAGAAAACCCAAAAATCCCAAAAAACCCTGAAAAAATCCCCAAAAAAACCCCAAAATCCCAAATCCCGCAGTGACCGCGCTCCAGGCACAGGGCAGCGCACTGCTGGAACGGGTCTGGCTGGAATGGCCACTGTGGGGGCAAAAAACGGGGGTTTGGGGCACCCCAAAACATCCACAGCATCACAAAATCCCAAAAAACCCAGAAAAACCCCAAAAATCCCAAATCCCGCAGTGACCGCGCTCCAGGCACAGGGCAGCGCGCTGCTGGAACGGGTCTGGCTGGAATGGCCACTGGGAAAGGGAAAATGGGGGTTTGGGGGCACCCCAAAACATCCACAGCATCACAAAACCCCAAAAAACCCCAAAAAAACCCAAAAAAACCCAAAAAAAACCCAAAAAAAACCCTGAAAAACCCCAAAAACCCCAAATCCCGCAGTGACCGCGCTCCAGGCACAGGGCAGCGCTGCTGGAACGGGTCTGGCTGGAATGGCCACTGTGGGGCAAAAAATGGGGGTTTGGGGGCACCCCAATAGCCAAAAAAAACCCAAAAATCCCTGAAAATCCCCCCAAAAATCCCAAATCCCGCAGTGACCGCGCTCCAGGCACAGGGCAGCGCTGCTGGAACGGGTCTGGCTGGAATGGCCACTGTGGGGCAAAAAATGGGGGTTTGGGGGCACCCCAATAGCCAAAAAAAACCCAAAAATCCCTGAAAATCCCCCCAAAAATCCCAAATCCCGCAGTGACCGCGCTCCAGGCACAGGGCAGCGCTGCTGGAACGGGTCTGGCTGGAATGGCCACTGGGAAAGGGAAAATGGGGGTTTGGGGGCACCCCAAAACATCCACAGCACCCCAGAAACAACCAGGGCATCACAAAACCCCAAAATCCCAAAGCCCGCAGTGACCGCGCTCCAGGCACAGCACACAAATGGGTCTGGGGGTGACGGGCACTGCAGGAGGAATCAGTCACCCCAAATCCCTCCAAATCCCCCCGAAATCCTCCCTAAATGCCCCCCGACCCCCTCAAATCCTCCTGAAATCCCCCCAAGTCCCCCCAGACTCCCTCAAATCCTCCCCAAATCTCCCACGAATCCCCTGAAATCCCCTCAAATCCTCCTCAAATCCTCCCAAATCCCCTCAAATCTCCCCCAAATCCCCCCAGATGTCCCAAACTCCCCCTAGACCTCCCCAAATCCTCCCTCAAATCCCCCCCAAATCCCCCCAGGAACTCCCCAGGAACCCCCCCAAATCCCCCAGGAGCCTCCAGACCCCCTCAAATCCCCCCCAGATCTCCTCAGGACCCCCCCAAACCCCCTTAAGTCCCCCCCAAATCCCCCCAGACCACCCCAAATCCTCCCCAAATCACCCCAGGACCCCCCCAAATCCCCCCAGGACTCCCTCAAATCCCCCCAAATCCCCTCAAACCCTCCCCAAATCCCCCCAGGACCCCCCCAAATCCCCCCAGGAGCCCCCAGACCCCCTCAAATCCCCCCCAAACCCCCTTAAGTCCCCCCCAGACCCCCCCAAATCCCCTTGAGAACTCCCCAGGACCCCCCAAATCCCCCTCAAATCCCCACAGGACCTCCCCAAATCCCCCCAGGACCCCCCCAAACCCCCTTAAGTCCCCCCCAAATCTCCCCAGACAACCCCAAATCCCCCTCAAATCCCCTCAAATCCCCCTCAAATCCCCCCAGGACCCCCCCAGACCCCCCCAAACCCCCCCAGGACCCCCCCAGGACCCCCCCATTCCCCCCCAGGCCCCACCTTGTGGGCGGGCTCGGGCAGCAGCCGCTCGAAGCCGGGCACGGGCGTGGCCGCGTCCAGCAGCTCCGCCCAGAGCTCCTCGGGGGGCGCGGGGGGCGGCGCCGGGGGCGGCCCCGCCTCCTCCTGGGGGGGTTTGGGGAGCGTTTGAGGGGGGCTGGGGGGGCTTGGGGGGGATTTGGAGGGTCCTGAGGGGGTTTGGGGAAGATTTGGGGGGGATTTGAGGGGGTTTGGGGGGATTTGGGGGGGATTTGAGGGGGCTTGGGGGGCTTTGGGGAGGATTTGGGGGGGTCTGGGGGGTTTGGGGGGGATTGGGGGGGGATTTGAGGGGGCTTGGGGGGGTTTGGAGAGAATTTGGGGCGGTCTGGGGGGTTTTAGGGGGGATTTGGGGGGACCTGGGGGGATTTGGGGAGGAGTTGAGGGGGCTTGGGGGATTTGGGGGGGATTTGAGGGGTCTGGGGGGGATTTGAGGGGGCTTGGGGGGGATTTGCGGATGTCTGGGGGGATTTGGGGGGGATTTGGGGGGTCTTGGGGGGGATTTGGAGGGGTCTGGGAGGGTTTAGGGGGAATTTGGGGAGGATTTGAGGGGGTTTGGGGGGGATTTTGGTGGGTCTGGGGATGTTTGGGGAGGATTTGGGGAGGTCTGGGGGGATTTGGGGAGGATTTGGGGAGAGTTTGGGACGTCTGGAGGAGTTTGGGGGAATTTGGGGGGCATTTGGGGGGCATCCAGGGAGAATTTGGGAGTAATTTGGGGGATCCTGGGGGGATTTGGGGAGGATTTCGGAGGAATTGGGGCGGATTTCGGGGAGGATTTGGGGTGGTCTGGGGGGGATTTACAGAGGATTCGGGGAGGATTTGGGGAGGATTTGGGGCGTCTGGAGGAGTTTGGGGGAATTTGGGGGGACCTGGGGGGGATTTAGGGGGGATTTGAGGGGTCCTGGGGGGGAATTTGGGGAGGATTTGGGGGGAGTTTAGGGGGCATTTGGGAGGAATTTGGGCCGATTTGGGGGAGGATTTTGGGGAGGATTTTGGGGAGGATTTGAGGGGTCCTGGTGGGGAATTTGGGGAGGATCTGAGGGGTCCAGGGGGTTCTGGAGGATTTGGGGAGGATTTGAGGGGTCCAGGGGGGGATTTGGGGAGGATTTGAGGGGTCCTGGTGGGGAATTTGGGGAGGATTTGAGGGGGCTTGGGGGGGATTTGGGGAGGATTTGAGGGGGCTTGGGGGGGATTTGGGACGTCTGGAGGAGTTTGGGGCAATTTTGGGGGGATTTAGGGGGGATTTGGGGCGGATCTGAGGGATCCTGGGGTTCTGAAGGAGTTGAGGGGTGCAGTGGGGGGGGTGCCAAGGAGCCCCCTCCCCAAATTAACGCCCCCCCCCCCTTGCCCACCTTGTTCAGCAGCTCCTCCAGGCTGTCAGAGCGGCGGGGAGGGGGCGCAGCCCCGGGCCCCCCCTCGCTTGGGGGGGCTCTGGGG